GTTAATGGTCTTGCACGTCTTTCAGGCACAGTATTTTACAGGTGACTGTGTACAGGTAGCAGGGGAATTTCAGTGTCAGTTTGTAGCCCCTGGTTACAGCTCTAGTGAGAGCTTGAGCATCACTTTAACCACTGATGTCACAAGTGGGTGAAAGAACATGTATTCTTATTAGATCTAGGGAGAGAGTCTGTGCTAGGAAAACTAAAAGTAGAAATGCATGCAGAGTTCGAACACTATCTGACGCAAATGCCAGCGTATAGTCTGACATGATCTGGCAACGAAGACAGATATTTGAAATCAAGACTAACTGAGTAAGTCAGACTATATTGTTTCTAATGAATAAAAGATGTGATTTCAAAAGCAAAACTATCCTATGCATAGTCAATACCAGGTGTCCATCCATGGAGAAGCAGCATGCTGGCTATCAGGATGACTCCTTGAGGGAACTTCATGCATCTGTGTCTCCAGTCCCTCCCTCAAGCATCTGGTACACACACATCTCACAGAACATTGGAAAAGACACATAGACTCACATAGTAAGATGAAGGTCCGTGGAAGAGATAGATTTATAAGAAGATAATTATAAGAGAGTTTTCAATCTACAGTAATAGGAAAAAGTGCAATTGCAGCAGATGGTAAAGATACTAACTGCCTGGGGGGACAGACATTTGGGGGAAGAATTTGCAAAAGGAAGTGACAACTGATTAGCATTATTAAAGAAAAAATTAAAATGAGCCTATGGAAAAAGAACTTAAAAGATGCCCTGCTCACTAGCTACCTCAGAGAAGTCTTTTCATTGTTACAGTTCAGTGACTTAGAACATCTTACTGATATAAGGAATCAATTACTATCAATAGAGAACTGCAGTTTATTCTGCATGTCAGGACAGCGATTTACCAGCCTAGGTTCTAGGATTCCTAAACCTTCTTATAAAGTATGGATGAAATTTGACTAGATAGCTTTAATATAAATTCAGAATTTGATTCATCACCCTTAATTTTTTCAGTAAATTTCTCTTTATATAGAAACTTTGTGTAGCTAGCTAATTGAGCTGCTCTGGTATGTGTAGTAATTTACTTCCTAATTTAGAATGAATTTACTAATTTATTGGCAATATTTTTGTTTTTTAACTCCTAAAAATACCTTTAAATACAAGTTTTTTGGAATCATTTACCACCCATATAACTAGACTAATGTGTAAAGATCTCTAAAAAAATATTAGGTAGTGTTTTATCTTTCCAAAGCATAAAAAAATGCTGTAGATAATTTAGACAATGTATTCTAAAACAACATTCTGCTAGTTCTTAAAATTTTAGAGATTTTTTTTTTTAGGAGTAAGGAAATTTTTCTAAATTTACATGCCTTTAATCCCAACACTTGGGAGGCAGAGGCAGGTGGATCTCTGTGAGTTTGAGACCAGCCTGGTTTACACAGCAAGTTCCAGGCCAGCTGGGGCTACAGGGAGACCCAAAAACATACCAAAAAAATGACCAAAAAATAAAATGATAAATAAATAAATAAAATGTGGAACCAGGCATGGTGGCACATGCCTTTAATCTCCCACACTTGGGAAACAGATGCAGGTGGATCTCTGTGAGACTGAAACCACCTTGGTTTACATAAGGAGTTCCAGGCCAGCTGAAGCTTCAGGGAGACCGTGTCTCAAAAAATGAAAAAAAAGGAACTTGGGACTGGAGAGATGGCTCATCAGAGGTTAGAGGACTTCCTGCTCTTCAGAGGACCCAAGTTCAGGTTCAGTTCCCAGCACCCACATCAAATGGCTCACACCTGTAACTCCAGCTCCAGGGGATCCAATGCCCTCTTCTGGCTTCCATGGGCACCTGCACTCACATGTTCACAGAGGGAATGATGGACAGACAGACACAAGCATGCATGTATGCATGCACACACAATTAAAAATAATAAAAATAAATATTTTTTTAAATGCAGAACTCAAATAATGGTAATTCTGCTGTCCCAAAATTGTCTTATTTTTATTATTTTATTTTATGTATATGAGTGTTATTATACCTACATGTATGTAAGTGTACTCATGTTGTGCAATGCCCATGGAGGACAGAACAGAGTGTCAAATCTCCTGGACCTGGAGTTATTGATGGTTGTTAGCCATTGTGTGGGTACAGGGATTTGAACCTGGGTCCTCTGCAAGAACAGCCAGTGATTTTAACTGCTGAGCCATCTTTCCAGCTCCCCCGAAAATTGTCGTATTAGATAAATGTATTTGTGTTCATATTCTCACCGTTGCAAAAAGGCCATGTGTGTTGGGAAGAGCCACATATTGGCCTCAGAATTGTCAAGCTTCTTTTAGTAGTGCTATTTGGATCAGATAAGAAAGAAAAATAAAAATCTTCCCTTTTGATTTATTTTTCCCCTTCGGCCTGGTCATATGGCAGAAGCATTCTATCTGCATCTACTTAGAAACATACATCTATCAAAAATCATACGTCATTCAGTGTTTAAATTGCTGTACTCTGACAGTTTCTGATCATCACATAATAACCAGTTATTTTAGAAGAAATGCATATCCACAAAATACCTAAGGTAGACTTGTGGGACAGTGGCATAATTTCATCTGAATGGCCCACTTTTGTATGACTTCAAAATTATTACCTTAGTAGGTGAACTAAATAAAATTATTACCTTAGTAGGTGAATGAGCACTTTTGTATGATTTTAAAATTACCTAGTATGTGATCAAACTTCCTCATTATGTGTGCCACACTAATATTAAAGACACATGTTAAAGAAGCAGCAACCCTGCCCTGTATCTTCAAGCAAGGCCCTTTCCTTAGAGGTGGTGGACACACATGTGGGAACTGTTATTCTTGTATTCACAGGGAGTGGGGAGCCTGGAACAGACCAATGAGAGTGTTTCTTTCCTATATCCTTCCCTTCAACAATTTTATCCAAATGCAATCCAGACAAAGTTGGCATTAGAGCACTGGAAAGAAAATGCATTAATAAACATCAGCATACATGTTTTCCTAGGATAGAATGGCAGTCCATCCATACCCACTTTGTTGGTTAGGACACTAGAGCATGTTAGGCTGATTGAGTTTAAATGCAAACCAGTCCAGAAAATTTACTTTGGCTTTGATGAAGGGGAAGAAATGAGCAGTCCTAAAAGTTACCTCGATTTAAGTTGACGTCAACATCAAGAATTGCTTTGGGAGAATCAGGAAAGACTTATATGACAAATGCAATTGTGATTTCCCTGGCAAGGCATTTGATGGTATCAGTAGAATCCAAGGATATCCTGAGACATGTAAATATTTCTCGGGGGGTTGGAGAAATAGCCTAGTCATTAAAGTGTATGCGTGAGGAATCTGAGTTCAGCTCTCCAGAACCCACATGGAAAGCTGGGTGTAGCCTCACCACTGGAGAGGTGAAGTGAGGAGGGTTCATGGTGCTCTCTAGTCAGCTACTCTAGCCAACTTCCTAAGCTCTATGTTGAGTCAGAGACTTTTTCTAAAAGAATAAAGTGAAGATCAATTAAGGAAAATACTCAATGTCAATCTCTGGGCTCCATCCAAATGTGTGTTGTGTTGTTGTACCCACACCCTCTCATACTTGTATGCATATACATGAACAAGTATGTACACACACAAATAATAACACTTCTGACTGACCATTTCTTAGTTTTAGAAAATTCTCTGGGAGGATTGAAGATCACCAGTGCAAACTCACTGACAGGGATGCTTCTGGGTTCTTGAACAAGATCACAAGAATTTAGACTAATTTCAGATCTTATATTTATTGATATATTTCTTAGGTCTCTCATTTATGTAAGCCATGTGTCAATCTGTTTTACTTCCAAAAGTTGGTCCTATTCAACCCTCTTTTTTATTGGTAGACCAGTTTGTCAAAGAACTATCTACACTAATGATTGGAAAGCAAATTTCCAAAGGTACAAAGAAAGAAAGTTTGGATTACATTTCAATTTCAGAGATTATTACACATTATCTTCTGCAAGAATTATCTCTGTTTGGTAGTATGCATATATTATAAGGTTTTGTTCTGTTTTATTTATAATTAAACTGCATTTTTCAATTTGTAAAATTACAACAAACAGGATAAACTTCTAAATTGCCTGGTAAACTCCTTACTAGTCTTTTACTTTCAAAGCAAAAATGAATTCCTAAGGAAAATAAATATTAAACTTTGAGTCTTGAACTCTGAGTTTCCAAGAGAAAAGTCAGGCCTCTTCTCTCCAGAGAATTGGGAAGGCTCAGATGCTTTGCCTGTCCACTGCTTAAAATGCTAAAGTTGGAAAATAGATGCAAACACTACCCTTGAGACCCAACACAACACAGGTTTAGCATCCCGCATCCAAAAATCTAAAATGCAAAATGCTCCAAACCTTAAAATTTTTTGAGTATCCTGTTGCTTCTCAAAAGTTTTGCATTTTGAAGCATCTCAGGTTTCAGAGTTTTCGATAGCAATTGAGAAGTGAGTAAACACTAGGCAAGTACTCCAAAATCAGAAAAGCTCTGAAACCTGAGTTTTGGATTTGAGATATTCAACCTGTTCTCAAAAGTTAGTTTCTTAATTGAATTTTTATTTTTAATGACCATATTTGTTTGTGGGTACATTAAAGACTGAAATATATTTTGGAGCAATGCATATTTTCAACTAATGTATATAACATGTCAGATGTTACGAATTATGAGATTATGTTCTGGAGGATATTTTTGCCATGCCTTGCATACCTTCTCCATAACGGAGAATAGCTTTGTCTCCAGCTCTGATTTCAGCCCTGTGTTTCAGTCAATATTCTCTTCTGTAAGAACCTTTCTTCTTCCTTCACAGTTTCCTAATCCTCTGTGTTTGATTTCAAAGACAAAAATGGGGAGAAAAAGTATATATTATATATACACATAGTTTTCTTGGTGTTGCCATATTACAAGCATAGCGCTTCTAAAAGGAACAGAAGCATGCCTCTTAAACTCTAAAGTAATGCTTTTTGTGGTCTCTCTGCAGCTAGACCCTGAAGCTAGCACTATTCTAAAAGAACTTCAAGTTAAACTCAGCGGGGTTCTGGATGAGCTAAGTGTCACTTATGGAGAAAGGTAAGTGGACTAAATAGTTATCTGACTGGGCTTCACTTGAAATGACTGTACCTCTGGTACTGCTGCTCTGGCTGAGTCTGTTTCACTTCAAGACCCAGTCTAAGCATGATCTCTTTTGAGAAATTTTTCATGACCCCAGGATCGTACAGTGATGCCCTACTGAAAGATGTCTGTGCATCCCTCACTTTGGTGATACTAACAACATCAGGCTCCGGGTTTTGATTTACTAGTTTGCTTCCCTCATTTTTCTCTGTGCTCCTTAAGGGCAGAAATCTTAGCCCATAACTCTTTGCAATTCTCATCCTTGTCTGGGTTCAGGAAAGAGAAACCATTCATAACCATTTAATGATTACTAAGATCATGTTTAATGAGAAAGACTGAAAGCACTCTGAATGCATTGTGTTTTTCTCAGATATAAGAATGAAGCACAATAAAGCCCCAAACTTGTTCTCTTGACCATCGGGTCAGAGGCATGTTCACAACTCCCTTAAGCTGAGATGCATTGTCCGGCTAAGCCCACCTTCACAGCTCGGATGCAGAGCTGGGCAGCCTGGCTCTGTGGAGCTTAGGACCTTTGCTCTCCCTCTGCTCCCTGCTGTTAGTGACTTTCATGAGTCTGTCGACATGGTCTGAACAGTAAAATGAAGGCTCTGTCAAACTGGAGTTTGAAAGAAGTTGTCCCAGAAAAGTGGTGCTCCCTGGATGTGATTTGAGGTGACTTGGGACATTGACTCAGCCCTTTCAGACTTCCCTTGGTTCTAGTTCTGAATTAATGTGTGGTCAGCAAAGAAATGAAAAAAGAAAAGAGATTGCCTACAGCTACAAAGGCAGCAAGAGATTATTTAGAAAAGTTAGAGGGAGGAAAAAGGGAGCTTAGAAAACCCAGAAGTGCTCATAACTTTTCAAGAAATAAGAAGCCTAAACAGAACAGAAACCAGAATGCAAAGCTACTGTGTTGTTGCTTTCTATAAAATATCTAAATCATCCCAATGAGCAGGAACATTTTGAGCTTTGTTTTGTTTTAAGAGAAAGAAAGGTTGAGTATATTAACCAGATAACATTAATGTTCCAAAGGCTAAGTTATGCATTTTGGTTTGATAAAAATTGGACAAACTTCAGTTATAAAGGAAGTGTTGATACCATTACTGAAGCTATTAAAGTACATTATTTTTATAAGACTAGATTTCTTTTGAACCTTGAGTAATATTTTATTAGAGCTTAAAAGAAAAACTCCAGGGTTGGCAAGCTGTAAATATCAGCAGCTGTCCTGAGAAGGAGAATGGAGAGGGGAAAATATTCCACGTTCTTTGAGTTAAACCAATTAGCATGGAGGTCAGACACATGATGGAGGTCAGACACATGATGGAGGCAGCCACATGATGGAGGTCAGCCACATGATGGAGGTCAGACATATGATGGAGGTCAGACACATGATGGAGGCAGCCACATGATGGAGGCAGCCACATGACGGAGGTCAGCCACACGATGAAGGTCAGCCACATGATAGAGGTCAGCCACATGATGGAGGTTACCCACAGGATGGAAGTCAGCCGTATGATGGTGGTCAGCCACATGATGGAGGCAGCCACATGATGGAGGTCAGCCACATGATGGAGGCAGCCACATGATGGAGGTCAGCCACATGATGGAGGCAGCCACATGATGGAGGTCAGCCACATGATGGAGGCAGCCACATGATGGAGGTCAGCCACATGATGGCGGTCAGACACATGATGGAGGTCAGCCACATGATGGCAGCCAGCTACATGATGGAGATCAGCCACATGGCATGGAAGAGGGCTTTACAGAAAGAGTAAGGAAGAGTAATTCAGAAAAGCCACATGGCTGCCGCTGTGTAATCTGTGCTGAGAGGAATTCTGGGAAGGAAAAGTAAATTACCTCATTAAAGGTACAATTATGCCATGTATCTCTTTAGCACAGCTTAAAAGTAAACCTGCCTTTCTAGTGATGGTCCCACCTGCCTATAGTCAGGTCACTTGACCAGCCCAACTGGAATTTTTGGTCTTCACTCTGTCCAGAAATACATTCTTCTTGACCAGAAGAAAATCATTTTCCCTTTACTGTTGCTATGTCCTTCCCCTGTCACAGAAGGTCAGATGCCTTAGGATAACCTTGTCCTACATATTGAACAACAAGCATATAATAATTATTAGTCTTTCATGGAATGCATCATTGGTGGCCTGTTTACTGCAAGTATACAAATGACCTTAACTGAACAAAGAAACTGAACAAAAAACCAATATCTTCCTGATATTTTAAAAATAGGAAGGACTAGGGTAGATGGAAAGTCTATGGTGATCCGGTTGATCATATTGCAAAGCTAGTCAGAACTACCCTGAACGTGATCTTTTTAGAGTCTTAAGCTAAAGCATTAAAATTAGGGACAGAACTAATTCCCAAAACCAATTTCCTCTGTGTCATTAAAAATCACAGATAGTTCTACTGTCTTCAGCTGTTAGATTGGCTGCCAGGTAACACCAGGGTAGAGGTAAACCCCGGGTCTCAAGTCTCTCTTGGGCTCCTCACAGTTTCCCAGGTCATCTGCCTCCAGAGACTAAGTGATTTCATGTCAGTGATAAATTAAAGATGCTCTTAAAACTTTCAAAACTTGTGCCACTTAAATTTCTGCTTACTCATATATTTTCACTTATTTTGATTTGCAGCATTTCTTTTCTGGTACTGTCAGTGCCAGGAAGCTGGCTGGAATAAGTAAATAAATAATTCTGAGGTGTTTCATAGGAACTTTTTAGGGAATATTCAGTTCCTTTGGGTGCCCAAGAAGTTTGTAACTATTCAGTGGTTTGATTTTTAGTCGAGCTAGTAAATGAAGACTTTAAAAAAAAGGTAGACCTATTAGGTAAATTTATTAAGAACAGGGATAGAAGGGTTTTCAGGTAAAGTGTGGTTTGGTTTACACTGGGAACATGTAAAAGTAGAAAGCCTTTGACCCTCAACCCCATGAGCTCTTCCTCCAGGAGCCCTATCCCACGCCACTGGCTTCTAATTAGAGTTCACAGTGGATCTGTTTAGAAAATGCTTCTCACACATTTGAAACATTAATTCTGTTCACTTTGCTCAATCTATTTCTTCACTTCAGTGTACTGACAAAATAATCAAAATAAGAGAGAGTAGTTAACAGTCAACAGGACCACTGTGTCCCATCAGTCAAGTAGGTGTTTCCATCATTGTTTGCCCTCTTTTACTACTATCTCAAATATCTGTGACTGTTTTCCTCATTAAATACACCTATCACCACAAAGACCCTCACCTTTCCTACTCCAACACTTCCTTACAGCCACCAAAGGCCAAAAGCAGGTCTAGCTAAATGAAAGCCAATTGGTGTTGCATTTGAACTGCCCTGGATGAGAGACGGGTAGAGTTATTTCACCAAGTGGGATACATATAAAGAGATCCATAGGGATTAGCTGAGATCAAAGGATCAGGAACCAGATATAAATGTCAACTCTGGAAGAACAGGAATGGTGTTGTAAACGATAAAGCCCAAGAAGTGGGCTATAAGTCAGGTCTGCATGTGTGAACGTGAGAACCACCAGTATATGAGTTCAACTTTGCCACCAATTGCCACTGCCAAGGACATGACTCTGGGCAGAGAGTGGCCCAAGGATTGAGCCCAGAACATCACAACATAGAGTAGCCAGATAAAATAGAGTTAAACTTCAATGAACAGTGGATAAACACAGGGTAATTATATCCCAGTTGTTACATGGATATGATTACAGAAATGCTTACTATCTAAAATTCAAGTTTAACTATACACTTTGCATTTTTATTTGATAGATATGACAACCCTCCATCAGTAGAGGTCAGGCAATTGGAAAGGAGCTGCCAGCAAGATTGAAAAAAGGGAAAGAGGGTGTGGAGTCATAGAAACCAATTAAGAAGGAACATCCCCATGCCCACAATCTCTCCAGAGCAGCTGTTCTTCCAAACTTACTCAGAAGTACAGTAGCCACACTGTACTATCAGATATGGAGGCTGAATGAATAGCCACTCACATTAACCCAAACTGCCAGCTCACTGCCTCTGTTCCACATAGGAGGGGTCAAAGAAAGCTTTCATTACACCCAAAGATTTTACAATTTTAAACCTGAAAACCAACAAGCAAGGGAAAGCATTTTGTTTGAAATGAGTCAGTCTCTTCACGGTAGAATTCAGGCTGGGGCAGCATGTTTACTTCTATTCCAGAATTTATGTTCTGTATTTTCAGTTTCCAACATGTAATTGAAGAGTGTATAAAACAGATGAGTTTTGAACTAAATCAAATGAGAGCGAATGGAAACAGCACAACCAATAAGAACAGCACAGCGATGGATGCAGAAATTGTTCTGAGACCACTGATGGACTTCCTGGACAAAACGTAAGCCGTCTGCCCACTTTAATCCTCACTTATCACCCAGTGTTCCTGTGTGACTGATAAATGGGGGAAACATGGGAACAGGTTTCCTCCATGTAATGCAGACTGAAAAGGACTTCTGTAGAAATAAATGAATTCATTAAAGAGTGTTGCAAGCTGGGGAGATGGCTCAGTCGGTGAGTGTTTGCCATGCAAGCAGAAGGACCCAAGTTTAATACCCAGCGCCCACATAAAAAAGCTGGGTGTGGTGGCATGTACCTGTCATCCAAGTCCTGGGGAGGCAGAGACAGGTGCATCCCTGGGGCTCACTGACAAGCCTGACCTACTTGGCCAGTTCTAGCTCAGTGAGAGACCCTGCCTCACAAATAAAATCAAATGCACCTGAGGGACAACATCCAAGGTTACCTCTGGCACAGTACACACACATATATGCACACAAACATGTCCACCCACATGTGCATGCACACATATGCAAAATGTGCATATGTGCTTGCATACACATAGGCATGCACATGTACATACAATCAAGAGTGACAGTTTTCATGCACTACACTTTGTATAGGAAAGGGGGAAATGAGAAATTATGACTGTTGTAGCCGAGGTAGCTGCTGTTTTGAAGCAGATAATGGTTTAGAATTCATGGTTCTCAGAGGACATAATGGTTTGCATCCTTCTGGACATGGAAAGGGAATCCAGAATGTCTGCTATCATGTCAGAAACCTGCTGAAGAAGAAAATAGCACATGTGTTGGTAGAATGAATTCATCAAAGAGGTAGCAGGTAGCTGCCTGACATGATGGATGCCCACCTGTGTGCCACTTACTTTAATCAGTGAAAATGATTTAAAAGGAAGTCCAGCCCCTTGAGATCACAGTCTGTGATGGGAGCAGGTAGGAAGGGTGTGTTCTTAACCAAAAAGGCTGGGCTGGCCTGTTCTTCGGCTGGTTGTTTATCGTTTAATGTTTCTCCCATCTCTACTCTAAAGTTCTGATTTAGTTAGTTTGGGGTAGGTTCAAGGCACCAATATTTTAAAATACATTTGCAACTGAGGATTTTGTAACTATGGATATAGGTTGAACACCCCTAAATAAAAAAAAAAATCTCAAATCTGAAATACTCTTGAAGTCTGAGCATCAACATGACTCCCAAACTGCTGCAGGTTTTCCAGAACTGGGGCGGTAGCTGCCCGGTACAGTCCTGGTCTAGAATATGGGAGGCCCTGGGTTTGCTCCATGCAAAAAAAAAAAAAAAAAGAAATCAGACTTCGGAGCATTTCATATCTTAATTTTTTGCCTTATCAATACAAATCTCCTCAAAATTTAAAATCAGAGATAGTTCTATTCCAAGATGCTCCTAATATATGAGATAATTGTATAATATGTATTGTATCATTTATTATTATTGTGGCAATTTAATAACAAAGGGCTAAAAATAGAAACTAGTGACAAAGCCAAGCAAGAATGCACAGGGAGACTGCCTTCGAACATCTAGAAGTTCTACCTAAATTCCATTCCCCTTTGACTATAATCCTTCTGCAGAAATGAGACTAATGTTTTCATCAATTTAATTTCAGTATTTGGTAGGAAGTCTTAGTTTCCAGTCTATGCAGGTAAATATTCTAGAGGATAGATGATTGGATAAATAGATTACAGAAGACAGAAAAGCAAGTAGTTACAATAAAAGAAGAAAAAGAGGACGAAAGAGAGGAAGAGATGAAAAGAGAAAGGGAGAAAGGAACTTTTCTTCATATTTTAGTTTCTTGGGCAGTCTTTTATCATATTACCCCTGCAGCATTCCCTTGCGAGTCCAACTTCTTATGCAACACTCCTTGGGCAACCCCAAGTTGACTGCGTATGGTAGAAGCAAGGGGAGTCGGTAGTCCTGACTCTCTTCCTCCTCCCACAGAATACCTCTCCTTTTCAAAACGCCAATCAGTGTTCTGAAGACACTGTTTTCATTGATGGAACTATTCACTTTAAATATTCTGTAACCAAAAGTTATAGCACATACAAAACATCTAAGTCATTCTGACACTACCAATAGCTAGCTGAGTGATTTTTTAAATCTATTTCATTACGTATAAAATATGAGAATGAGTAACTTGAGTCAATTCATATTTAGTACACTTAGATGATTTTATAATCTTAATATTCCTCTTTTAATTATACCACATTACATCATCATATATGGCAGGTCTTATTGTTCCTTGTAGAACGAGATAGTATATAAAGTCAGAAGAGAGTTACAACCTTGAAAGACATGTGAATGTGATTTACCAATTCTTGAGGGGGATAATTGTATGAAACATGGAGATGTGTGGAAGTTCTCGAAGCTAAAGCAGAATGCATAGTTTTAAAGCCACTGGTTAGAGATCTTTCAAAGTAAGACACTGATTCTGTTCTCAAGCAATTTTGAAAGCAAAAAAGGCAAGGCACATACACACAACACACATACACAAACCACACACACACACACACACACACACAGTAATAAGCTGGAGTGGCCACCTTTTCAGAGTGTTGATAAGAATTACATTAGAGTATTTAAAGGGAGATGTGTGGGGATGAGGGGCAGGTACTATAGGAACAGAGAAACTTATCTGGGTAAATTTTCATAAAAATAGGACCAACTATATAATGGAAAATCCCCATTGCCAGTTGTACACATAACATTTGAAAAATGTCTGGTTAATCTTTTCTATGTTTAGCCATAGCTCATGTTGCAAAATCTGTGATTTTTGGCTTATCAATGTTGGCTAACCCCGATTACCTTAAGGGAGCAGTGACTAGACTTTTTCCCTCTATTTTCTATTATTTAAAGCAAACAGTGGGAGCCTGAAAGTCTTCAAAGTGTTTTTGAGAAAAATCCCTTCAGAAATCACATTGGAGTATGCATGCATAGACTGTGCAGATTCTCTAAATAAAACATTTCTTTACATTAAACTTTCTCCGCGAGATCTCACACTCTATAAAATAAGCTGTAAACCCCATCTCCGACTAGCAGAAGCTCATGAAGAGCTGCTAGCTTGCCCCTGGCTTTATTCATTTTCTCTTTGGTTCCAATCTAAGCACAAAGTCTTAGCCGTACACAGGAGATGACCATAAAAACAGAACCAGCTCTTAAAGTCAGACATTTTAAAAGTGGGAATTCCGCATCCACAGCAAAACTGCCTCTAGTAACATTAGGAATGTCTCTGAAGAAACCTTTTGTTTGTTGTTCAGTGACCACTGGCTGATTTCTACCCTGCCTAGACACCAGCATTCATCAGCTGAGATGCAACACCCAACACTGGCTTCCAGACTAGGGCAGCTAAGCTCCACCTTACGCATTGATGTTATTTCCAAGTATTTTTATATATTATGTTTCTCTATAAAATCGAGCTAGGAGAAATTTAGTTCTATATGAATGTATGTTTTAGCAATCTCTTTTTGTCTTTCATATGTCACTTGCCTTTAAACAATAGGTATTGATCAAAAATTATTCTTAATTGTCCATGTCCTTTAGTATGGAAAAATAATCAGTTCTACCTATGAGGACCCACACTGTGGTTACTATTTCTGAATTCAAAACAGAGTGAGGACCGTGGGGTGTCAGTGAGACTGCCCCAAAATGCGTGCCTCACTTTAGCTCCAGTGTAGCAGGTTGAGTCCTCTGTTGACAAAGGAGTCTCTAATAACCCAGAGTCACACTGTAGTATAGTTGCATCACCATGCCTCCCTCCTTGCTGGACATGAGGACATTCATGAGGGACAGCACATGATACTGGAAGACATTCTAGACTTAGAACAAGACAGCCTGGCTGGATTTCATTTGCTAGCTTATCTGCCTTGGACATGTCCCCAAACCTCCTTGAACCCATGTTTTATACTTTACTTAATTATTTTTATGTGTATGAGTGTTATGCCTGCATATAAGTAAGAGCACCCATGTCATGCAAGGCCCACAGAGGTCAGAAGAGGCTGTCGGATCCCCTGGGACTGGAGTTACAGGCAGTTGTTAGCTGCCATGTGGGTGCTGGGATTCAAACCTGGATCTTCTGCAAGAACAACCAGTGTTCTTAACCACTGAGCCATCTCTCCAGCCACCGAGCCCATGTTTTATTCCTAACATGGTTGCAATAATGTGAGAAACACATGCAGGAGTGTTTTCTAATGAAGGCTTTGTATGAGGTATGATACTAACACCAGTTAATGTTACATCATTATCTCACCACCTGGAACATTTGCAAGGCGCAACCTTCTTGTTCAAGTCTGCATGCTGTGCCTTGTGAGAGAACTGAAATGCACTCCTGTCATGTTGTCGTATTGGTTGCAGTCCAGTGGTGACATTAAAAAATGTTCACAGGGGTGTGGGGCCCAGACTCAGTATACACTGCTGGAGGGAGTGTAAATTAGTCCAACCACTGTTTACATAAGCATAGAAGTTCCTCAAAATATAAAAATGGAACTACCATATGACCCAGCCATATCACTTCCTGGTATGTAGGTCAAATACTGAATCAGCACACCACAGGCTACTTGTACACCCATGTTTACTGTGGTGCTATTCAGAAGAGCCAAGTTATGGAATCAGCCTAGGTGTCCATCTACAGACAAATGGATAAAGAAAAATGTAAAACACACACACACACACACACACACACACACACACACAAATGGAATTTTATTCAGAAGTGAAACAGAAATTTTGATGTTTATAGGTAAACAGAGGCAACTGAGATTAAAATAAGCCAAACTAATACCACATTGTTTCCTAGATTTTACATAGATACATAAAGCATATACATACATGTGTGTGTGTGTGTGTGTGTGTGTGTGTGTGTGTGTGTATGAAGACTGGGGAAGGAGTGAGGAGAAAATGGAGGACATGGGAGGTAAATATGATCAAAACACATGATAAACCTGAAAAGGTGTCCTTATAAAAACCAGCACTGAACTGGACATGGTGGCACACACCTTTAATCCCTGCACTCGAGAGGTAGAGACCAGGGATCACTGTGAGACTGAAGTCTACATATTTCCAGGCCAGCTGGGGCTATAGTAAGACCCTGTGTCAAAAAAAAAAATCCAGAAAACCCAGCACTATGTGCAATGTGTACAATGGATATACACTAATGAAAGTAAATCAATAACATTATTTCCTTGGTGTTGCCTAGACTGTGACCAAGGAAGGGTGCAAATCCTCTGCTTTAGAAGCCTTGACCTCACTACAATGAATGGTCTGCTCTCTGCTCCCACACTATGGTGAAAATTATCGTCCTGGCATCTTTTTCTCAACTTCCACACCACAAACCCTGATGACTGATCTCAGAAATTGCTCTTGGTTTAGTAGATTTTATCTATGAATAAGGATCCTTTGCCTTTTAAGGCATTATATGTTTACTCTGTGCATTTTACATTAAAAGCTATTATATGTTTATTCTGTGCTATGTGTTTCTTTCCAAAGTTTGCCAGTTAGGTAGAAATAAAATCTCTGATCTCATTTCCTACCATATAAACTGGGTTGTATAAAATATAGTATAATTATATATTTTTCCATAAATATAATTTAGTATTTGAAAATTATAAGGGTCTGTTCAAGGATTCAAATCTCAGTAATTTCTGATCAGTCTTGTAACCTGAAACATGAATGAGACTTGAGGGTGAATATATATATATATAATATTGTTTCAGATTAAGTCTCTCAGCAAAAATCTGTGAGAAAACTGTCCTGAAACGAGTTCTGAAAGAACTGTGGAAACTGGTTCTTAACAAAATAGAAAAACAAATTGTTCTTCCTCCTCTGACAGATCAAACAGTAAGTATTCAGAATGTGGCTGTCCTTTTCACATCCATCTGATCGTCTTTTGTTTAAATGAATAGTTTAGTTCCAAATTAAATATTCCTTAAATCCATCAAGAAAAAAGTCTTTGGTGTAAAATTCCTTAACAATAATTGATCAAATTACATTTTTTTCTATCCAAATCAATTTTAAATAATGAAAAAAGCAGTCAAACTTCATACTTGATTATCATTCAAAACATTACCTCTTAAAAAATGGATCGAGAGGTCTGGGGATATAGCTCAGTTGTTAGAACACTGGCTTAGCATGCAGGAAGCCCTGGGTTCCACACTCCAGCATCACATAAAACTAGGTGTTGTGGGACACATCTGTAATCCTCACATTCTGGAGGTGGAGGCAGGAGGATTAGAAATTCAAGTTCATCCTCAGCCTCATAATAAGTTCAAGGTTAACCTGAACTATATAAGACCCTCTTGTAAAAGAGAGAAGGGGAGGAGGAGGAGGAGGAGGAGGAGGAG